GGTTATTTTGGCAAAACCTCTAAAATGTGGTTATTTTGTGGCAAAGGGTTGTGTAAAACGGTTATTTTTATAAATTTCCCATAAAAAAATGCCCCTAACCCTATTTTTTTAAGCCAATGAAACAACGAAACATGCGATTTTTTAAAGTGTTTAGAACCTATTCAAGCTAAGTATTTCATCCCGATGTTGAATTTTATTAATTATAATTAAAAAATACGATGTAGGACATAAAAACCAAAACCCCAAATACAAAATATAAAATGATAAATCCTGAATTAAGATCGTGCTTCCTTCTTTTCCAGTTTTCCTTTTTCCAAAACTGAAATTAGCAAAATAGAAACTTTATTTCAATATATGAAACTTAAAAAACAAGGAAAACTATAATTAGTTTTTAACTAAAATAGTAAATTACATTCAAACTTTTATTATAGTAAGCAAATTGTAAAACTTAAAATTTACAGGTCTAACGACTAAAGACTAAATGCTTATCTATTAGCAGCTTAATAAATTTAATGGAACTAACAACTTATTCACTCAACTATGCATGACTGTTTCGTAGTGGCTTAATAATATATAAAGTAATTTATCCAATAAGCTTCTAGGGGGAGCTTTATATAGAAAGCCAATTTTTTTTCCAAACATGTCCCTTCCAACTAAAAAAAACGCTCCTTACATCTGCGAAAAAACTCTCTGAATCAAAAACTCTTCCAACTTATACAAACAGATTAATTCATACAGACAACTTTATACAAACAAAAACTTTTCCAACTTTCCAACTTTTTCCAACGATGTGCATTCAGTATTCATCACTACTAGGCCTTGGGCCTGTTTTTATAGTCAAAAGTTCAGGTGTCCAATTCTCAAATTATTAAACTCAAAACTAGTAACAAATGACAATTTGATGCCCCTTTAGACTTTTGATGCCCCTTTAGACTTTGATGCCCTATACGGCTGCACGGGCTGCATGTGGCCAGGGCCGGCCCTGCTTCTTATTAAACATCGAACATTATTAAACATCGAACATGTATAGTTCTTTATTAGGAAAACAAACATTTGACAATTAAGAACACGTCCATTCTTAGTTGAACATGCATTTTCGAAGCAACTTCAAGTAGCCATCGTAAAGTTGAAGCTTGCACAACAAGTCTTCTTACGTAACAAGGAAGAACTGAACCCAAACCTCGATTTCTCTAAATCAAACACCAGAAAGTTATCTTCAAACTGATACGTTCCGATCACGATTGCAGGCTCACTCGTTGCACCACCGTCAACAAACGCTAAACATGCAACGTCTTCGGTTACTTGCTTAATGGAGTTACCCGTAGATACACTCCACTTCTTCCCCTCCTCAAGAACGAAATCAATATCAGGAACTTTTATACTAACCTTAGGACCCTTTGTCGAGGTGTTGAAACAAAGGCCGAATGGCGCGATCGGCTCTGCAGGCGGGATTCGCTTCGTAACCAACGAAAACCTTCGAACGACATGATTGTAGATGTCGGTTCGTAGAGTGGTGTAAGGGTCAATCGTACTAAGCTTGGTAGTCGTATTCGCAAGAAGATCGATGGATCTCTTTTTTATTACAATGGCATTGACACCGATGAAGTATCCGAAAGAATATGGATGCTTTAGTAAAGGAGTATACGATAGAAAACTCTTTACGTCGACGTCTGATTGGGGAAGAAGGTAATAAGAACTATTTCCGTAAAATAGAACCCCGGGGACCGACAAGGTGCTAGGCAAACATAAAGCCATAATGCTTTTAAGCGGACCGTTTAAATAAGTTGGCAACGCGTAAGGCGAGGTCGAAAGCGCCATAACACCGGTAACATTTGTTGGGAATGATTCGAATGACGAAGAAGGAGCACACGCCGCATTAGGGTATGCACCATATAAGCCACTCAAAACATTTCTACCGTCACTTGTGCTCACCGTGTACTCGTGATCATAGCTAAGTAGGGCTTGGCCACACGAACCGGTAACAGGATTGACCACTGTGACCGGGCATGTACAATATCCCCAACCGGGTAGCGTTGGACCTTTGTTTACGGGTCGGCAGGAAGGATTGTCGTATGAATACGTAGTGCGCACATCTTCGCATTGATATTCCTCACACGAAATGGGATAGTTGCAAAGTGTATTGGGCGGACAACTACCGGGATAATGGTTCCATTGTAGGTCGCACTCGTGCCATATGAAAGGAGCGTCGATGTCTATAAGGAAGTTTAACGGTAAGTATTGCGTGTAATCTTCGTAGACAGTCAAGATCTTCGCGCTGTAGAGAGGCTTAGCGGCATCGATATGTTTGCTAACCGGAATAACGATCGAAGTATAAGGTGGTTGAAATTGGGCTATGGCTTCATGTTCATGTGAGATGAAAGCTACAACTACGATGGTTAGTTTTATAAGCAAAGACATTCGATTTGTGTAGTTTTTGAAATGGCATCAGCAAGTTTAAATGGTAATGTTGGGTGTTTCTTTTCGATCTATTTTAAAGCAAAATGCTAATGCTTCTACTTTACATGTTTTTTTGATGAAAAAGTCAAAGGTCAAAGAGAGAGAGAGAGAGCAAGGTTGCATCTAAAGCGTTTATTGACGGTAACAAGAAGCAATATTCGCAAATCACGAGATTCAAATGCGATAACTCTGGGTTACCTGTAAAGCAGGTGGTCATTTTGGAATTAATCGATTCGCAAAATGAATTGGATATTTAGATTAATAAGAAAAAAACAATGTTCGAATGAAGTTGTTTTGAAAATAATTAGGGGTTGTTATTTTATATATATTTTGCACTTGTTAATTACGAATTTTAGTTTTTTTTAATAATTAATTTTCTATTGTTTGATGAAATTATCTATACTATGTTATAAAGTATTTGATAAAAAAATTTAAAAATTATTTTTTATGCATGAAGTACTGTTTATTGATGCATATTATTTAAAATTCAAGATTACAAGTAAGTTTTACGTAAGTACAACTTATTAAAGCTTCATGTTAAAATTCGTGTAACTAAGTGCAAATAAACATAATCAAATAGAAGATAAATATCTCATTTTAAATATAAAAAATCTAAAATATAATTAGGATAATCATTGAGTTCTAACAAAATACTTAATTATTTTTTTTTAACAAATTATATTATTAAACCAAAAAATTGAATTAAAGGAATATACAAAAAAAAATTAAATAGTTAGTTTGAGAATAATATCAATATTTTTTTTTATTTTTTATGATATCTTCATATTTATATTTTATTCAAAAATAAAAACATTATCGTTTTCTCAAAACCACATAAAAACTATATTATAACATCAATTGAGACAAAAAAAATTTTTTTTTCATTTTCTAAATTAAATATTTATTTTATACTTCAAGAGTATCTACCCATATAAATTTTTAATTATTAAGAGCAAATTGAATTAAATTATAATGTAATAATTTTACTTTTTACTTTTAAAACTGTATTTTGATGTGTACAAAGTTTAATAAACTTTATGTAATAAGTTTTTTAGAAAGTTATAAAACGTCACATCTTTTTGTTGTATATTTTTCATTGTATCAAACATTACACATAATATGTTTTCTTTATATTACATTAAAGATACTAGAACGGTATTCGTGTAATGCAGCAAAATACATTTTAATTTTAATGTTTTATTTTATTATGTCTCTTATCGATGTTATAATACGGTTTTATGTGGTTTTGAGAAAAAACGATAATGTTTTTATTTTTATTAAAATATAAATTTGAATATATTTTAAAAATTTTAAAGAAAAATACATCAATATTAATATCATATTAACTATTTAAAAATTCTTGTTTTCTTGTGT